CGTTGGATGGATGGCTGCCTCAGCTCTGCTGCCGTGTCTTCCAGTCACCTGCAGCCTCCCGCTTAGCCCAGATGGCTCCATTTTCTTCTTTCTCTTCCTTATGGACACTTAAGGAGTCCGCCCATGTTGTTCAGGTGCCCATCACAGTCCAACCCTGGTGAGGTCATTTCTCCCCCTCAGGGAGCCCTGCTTGTTGGAACTGTCTGGGATCCCTAGGCCCATCTCATTTTCTGTGTTTGAGCAGGGGTGAGGTAAAATCAAAAAGATGACTCGATGAGCCTCCTTGGGCTGTCGTAAGCAATGACCCCAGGCCAAGTGGCTTCAAACAGCAGAAACGCATTCGCTCGGCAGAAACATTGAAAATCTGACATCACGGTGTTGGCAGGGCCCTGTTCTCCAAAAGGCTCTGGTGGGCGGTGGCGGGGGGGTGTTGGGGGTACTTCCTTGCCTCTTCAGCTTCCAGACTGCTGGTGGCTGCCGGCACTCCTTAGCGCTGCTTGGCACATGGCTGCATCACTGATGTCTGCCTCTGCCTTCACATGCCTTCTTCCCTCGGTGTGTCTCTCTGTGTCCCCTCCTCTTCTGATGAGGACACCCAGTCCTTGGATTTAGGGCCTACCCTAAATGCAGTGTGATTTCATTTTGAGACCCTTTTCCAACCCTCTTTTCAAATGAGGTCAATTCTGAGAATCCAGGTGAACGTAAGCTTAGGGGAGCACCACTTACCCCACTACTGACCTTTAGGGACATTTGTTCCCTTAGACACATGGATACACTCTTAAAGAATGTATTTGGAGCCAGGTGCAGTGGCTCACGCCTGTAATCCCAGCACTTTGGGAGGCCTAGGAGGGTGGATCACCTGAGGTCAGGAGTTTGAGACCAGCCTGGTCAACATGGTGAAACCCCATCTCTACTTAGCTGGGTGTGGTGGCACACGCCTGTAATCACAGCTACTCAGGAGGCAGAAGTGGGAGAATCGCTTGAACCCAGGAGGCGGAGGTTGTAGTGAGCTGAGATCGCGCCACTGTACTCCAGCCTGGGTGACAGAGTGGGACACCATCTCAAAAAAACAAACAGCAAAAACAAAAAAGAAAGTATTTGGGATCATTGTTTTTAGACAGGGTGTGTTTTTAAAATTTAGTATCAGTCATTTAACATTCACGGGCAGTTTTCCATGTGACTCTCTTTGCAGCCCTCGTTTTTATTGTCCTGCCATGCGAGTGGCAGATGGCCTCATGGTCGGGAGTAGGGGCTCCGGAGCCTGCCAGGGCTGGCCTCCCGCCCTTCTCTTTTGCTCGCTGTTATGAGCTGACCTGTGCTCCCCTCCCTAATTCATATGTTGAAGTCCTAATCCCCAGAATGTGACTTTATTTGGAGATAGACCTTTAAAGGGGTAATTAACATTAAACGAGGACATTGAGGTGGGCCCTAATCCAGTCTGACTGGTGTCAGAAGAGGAGGGAAGGATACACATGCACCCGGGAGACCCCGTGAAGACGCAGGGAGAAGGTGTGGTCTGCAAGCCAAGGAGAGCGGCCTCAGGAGAAACCAACCCTGATGGCATCTTGACCTTGGACTTCTAGCCTCCGGAACTGTGAGGAACCCCTAAGCCCCTCGTTTCCTCCTCTATCAAATCAAGGTCTTCAGAGCGCTGGCGGGAGGATTGAAGGAAAGAATGCCCACACGCTGCCCAGCGCGGGGCTGGAGGGCACAGCAGCCGGGTGCTAGCCGGGTTCAGTTCCCCAGCCTCTGCTGCTGCACAGCGAACAGTCTCTGTTCAGTCAGTGGTAAACATTTACTGGACCCCAGTTACAGCTCTTTTCCCTATGACAGATGAGGCTCTGGCCAGTACCTGGGCACACTATCTCCGGCCGCTTTCTTGGAAGAAAGTTGTAGGCGCATTTTTTTTTTTTTTTTTTTTTTTTGAGACAGGGTCTGACTCTATCACCCATGATGGAGTACAGTGGCGTGATCCTAGCTCACTGCAGCCTCAACTTCCCCGGGCTTAGGTGATCCTCCCACCTCAGCCTCTTTAGTAGCTGGGACTGCAGGTGGGTGCCACCAAGCCCCGCTAATTTTTATATTTTTAGTAGAGACAGGATTTTGCTATCCCCCCTTCAGCCTCCCAGAGCACTGGGGTTTCAGGCATGAGCCACCGTGCCCAGCCTTGGTTGCATTCTCCATCCTCTAAGTCACCTTTGCTGAGCCCCGTCCCAGGAGCACCCTGTTACTGCGTGCTCCTGAGCCAGGCCCAGGGGGTCCTTGGCCGGTGGCAGTCAGAAGTCTGCCTGCACACCCCGTGTAGAGCAATCGGGCTTCCCACAGCCCAGGTACATGAAGGCTTTGGGGGTGCCATCCTCTCTTTCTCCAGCCTGTCTGGGTCCAACGGCCACAGCTGCCTCCCAGTCACTGCAGCAGCATGGGAGCTGTGCAAGGGCTCTCAGAGGATGAAACCTCTGCCTGAGGGACTTCTGCACTTGTAAGGCATTTCACACCTGCCCCAGTAGGGAGTGGCTCTTATGCTCTTAATAAATAGTTTGCAGCCCCCTCCCCTCAGGCTTGCTGGCAGCCTCCGGATCTCAGAGTCCTGCCAGCCCGGGGCAGTCCCTGAGCTTCCTCCCAGCTGAAGCAGCCTCCTCCCTTCCCCCTCCTCCTCTGCCCTGGGTGCCCCCAACGCCAGCCTTTTTTCTTCTCTACTTTGAAGTCTGAGCCTCAGAGCCACTACAGGCAAACAGGATGTTCCTCTCCCACGTGCAGACTTCACACGAGACGCCTGGGTCGCACCGCATCCTGCTGAGAGTGGCGGGTCCCGTCTGCGTGGACCTGGGGTGGGAGTGGGCACAGGACTGAGGCTGGGTGCCAGCCGGGACCCTGGTGCCACTGGTTTCATTAGTCACATTTGAGCATTCATTGCAAACTTTGAACTAAGTAAGCCTCGAAAAGTTTCCCTTGGGGGCTCTTGTGCTTGGAAGGACTGAATAAGGCAGATGGTGACGCTTGCTTAGCACCTTGGTGGGACACCCTGAAGGAGTAATGGTGTTTCTCATCCCCCACCTCACCCCTGGCTATGATTTTTGTATTTTCTGGGATTACATTTTTTTTTTTTCTGTAAACCTCAGAAAATTACAGTCACACCTGGAATTCCAGGATGGCTACAAGATAGACGACTGCTCTAGCCTGGCATGGGACAGGGCCTTAAGGAGGCAGGGCCTTGCTGAGCAGCTGGAGGACTCGGGCAACACTAGAAGGGCACCAGGGGATGGGCAGGAACTAGTTTAACAGTTTAAAGAAAACCTAAAGTCCCAGATCTTTCTCTGGGTTGTGGACTCTGTTTATAGTACAGTGACTCAGGCGGTTCTGCTGTGGTTGAAGCCATCTTGGGAAGATGAAGGTGTCAAATTTGAGGGTTCCAGTTCCCTCCTGAAGCACCTCCTATCTGCCAAGCAGATGTTCTGAGTCCTTGGAGTCCCTCAGATGTTTATTTATTTTTTATTTTATTTTATTTATTTATTTATTTTTGAGACAGAGTCTCGCTCTGTTGCCCAGGCTGGAGTGCAGTGGTGTGATCTCAGCTCACTGCAGTCTCTGCCTCCCAGGTTCAAGTGATTCTTCTGCCTCAGCCTCCCAAGTAGCTGGGGTTACAGGCATGTGCCACCACGCTCGGCTAATTTTTGTATTTTTAGTAGAGACGGGGGTTTCACCATGTTGGCCAGGCTGGTCTTGAACTCCTGACCTCAAGTGATCCACCTGCCTCCACCTCCCAAAGTGCTGAGATTACAGGTGTGAGCCACCATGCCCAGCCCCCTCAGATGTTTCATTTATAAAATAGTGTATGTGTGTTGGGAGAGGGCAGCCTTAAAATATGTCAGGGTTTTACCATCCACTTGACAACCCCGTCTGGCAGTCAGCGACATTCTAGACAGCTCTGGAACTTTCCACTTGGTTGTTCCGTGTACCAGGGTGAGCTGTGTGGATTTTTAGTTGCAGAGCATACTGAAAGTTAAGTGGAAAGGTCTGGGGGGGCCGGGGAGAGAGAGAGAGAGAGAAAGATGAGGGGTGGGAAAGAGATCATACTCAACAGCTGGAAAAGGCTTTGTGCTTCTCCTTTCCCTGCCCCTTTCCTGGGACAAGGGAGGAGGGCAGATGGCACAGGATTGGGTAGGAGTAGGGGAAGATGAATGCTGGTCACAAGGACCATGGCCCAGAAGAGGTTCAGTGGCAGCCAAAGGAAGCTACTGTGCCTGCGGACAGCCTTCTGAGTATCTGCTGTACTGGCAGGGGCAGCCCTCTAATCTGGGGCACTTCAGCTCTGTCGGGTGTCTTCTTCGCTCACCTGACATACCTTAGACTTGTTTCGTTCTGGGGATGTGCTCTCCAGCCTGTCTGATGGCACAGATGTTGGCATGCTGCAGCTGGCTGCTCTGTTCTTTATTTGGGGCCTGTTCCCTTGCTCAGATCATAGTTTGACTGTCCTGCCCTGCAGTGAGCATGCCTCATTTTGACTCTTGGCACAATAATAGGTTTGTTTGAGATCTCGGATGCCAGACTTACTGGGAGTCTTAACAATACTGGCATCATATGATATATCAGTGATCTTTTTAACACCACTGCCTCTACAGAAATGGTTTCTATCCGGCTGCCTCAAGCTCTTGGAGAAATACGTCCTTGTGTTATCTAGGCAAATAAAGGGGAGAGTCTTGAAGGACTTCTTGGTACAAGGGTCTGAATTAGTGCTCTGTGAATCTATATTTCCGTGGAAAATAAAGGCATATTTGTTCATGTGACTGTCTATATATTCCATTGAGATTGTTGCATAATGACCAAAAATCTCCAGGAAATCTGCCTTGTCTAGCAGATGGCTTGTTTGAGCTTTCTTAGTGTGTTCTTTGCACGTATTAGTATTCTTTGGCACATGGTAGGTATCCAATACTTATTTAATGAGATGATTTATGGCCTGGATTAGCCTCAGCCTTCAGACTCTTTTTTCTTTTCCTCCTTAGATCTTTAATCTCATGAAGTACGACAGCTACAGCCGCTTCTTAAAATCTGATTTGTTTTTAAAACACAAGCGAACCGAGGAAGAGGAAGAAGATTCGCCTGATGCTCAAACTGCAGCTAAAAGAGCTTCCAGAATTTATAACACATGAGCCCCCAAAGAGCCAGGACTGGCAGCTTTAAGAAGCAAAGGAACTTCCTCTCAGGACCGTGCAGGGTTTATCATTGCTTTGTTATTTGTAAGGACTGAAATGTACAAAACCCTTCCATGGGATATGTGTGTTTTATTAACTGCTTCACCAGTAAATTTTGCATGATGGCTAAGCTAACATAAAAAAATAATAATAATAACTTGGAAGTTTTAGTTCACAAAACAGAGATTCCTTCAACACTGGACACGTTGAGCATTTTGTAGCTTAATTAAGCCTCATGTGAGGCCGCAGGGTGAAACACATCACTACCTTTTACCTTGTAAGTGTTTGCTCTACCTCTCTGGTGAGTGGATGCATGTCCACAGGTCACTTGGTAAATTAACTGAAGCATGAGTTGATCCGGCAAACCCAGGCTACTGGGGGTATTATCTGCCAGTCACCTTTTGGGTTAAATATTTCTCGAGAGCAAGTTCAGTGCTGGAAAAAGAAAGTGAATCACTGACAGCCTCTAAAGATTTGGGAAACTTGTGTGTGAGTGTCATCAGAGGGTTATTATTTCTTGTGTGTGGGTTGGTCCTGGTTTTGACCACAACCCGTGACATTTCATGCAAGGCAGATAAATAGTTCATCTTGACAGAAACAAGATCTCAACCAGGAAGGAAAAGAAACACAAGTGGGAAATTGTTCAGGGTCCCCCTGGCGAGTCAGGTGTTGTTGAATGGCATTGTAGCACAGGTGCGTGCCAAGGATGGGGTTGGTGGGGCTCTTCCTTTCTCCTGTACCCATCGCGGACACATCATAATCCTTTCCCCTCTCCTCCCACAGAACTTACTAACTCTGGCTTGAGACTAACTCTGGCTTGACACTTCCACAGGAAAAAGAAATGCTGCCTTGCAGCCTGCTCTTCTTGGATGGGGAGGCTGCGAATGGGCCACGCTAGGGCCAGGCTGTCCCCGCCAGCCCAGGAACTCCACTTTTAGAGCAGAGCCCACCAGGGCCAAGGTCAGGCTCAGTTCCCTTCGGTGAATTGTTCCTGCTGTTTGTAGGGGGTTGGGTGCTGCCACCAGGCCTTTTCCAGGATGTTTGCTGAGCCCTTTCTATTTGTACAAAGTGACCAGCTTCTGTTGCGTGTGAGCCTCCCAACTCAGACTTTCCTGTTTGCAAAATTCCCTAGTGTTGAAGGTGGCTGTATAATTTATCAATCAAACTAGGACACTTTTCTGAGAGAAGAGGGGTTGAGCTTAATAATTAGACTGGGATAATGCCTATTACAAGCCCTAATCTGGTTCTATTCCAGGTTGCAGTTACCCTACTGATGGCTGTCCCCCACATGAGCTCTTGGGCAGCCCCCCAGATTCCCTAGCCTCGCTGTCTAGACACTGTGGTCAAATGTTTCCTGCCCTTCCATCCAGGGCCTGGGAAAGGGATGGCCTTCAGGCAGCTGTTCACCGCCAAACACTAAATAACCCAACGACATTCATCAGAAACAGCAAACACAGGCTTCTCCACCCTCCTCAGGTACTTCCCAGACAGGCCTACTCTGCACCTGTCTTCTCTCTATTTCCAGAACCTAGGAAGGAGCCAGTGATACTGAGAATGACACCCAAGTGCCCTGTGATCAGAGAAATTCAGTTCATTGTCAAGCAGAGCAGATTGGCGCTTTATTTATTTATTTATTTATTTATTTTTGAGACAGAGTCTTGCTCTGTCGCCCAGGCTGGAGTGCAGTGGCACGATCTTGGCTCACTGCAGTCTCTGCCTCATGGGTTAAAGCGATTCTTCTGCCTCAGCCTCCTGAGTAGCTGGGATTACAGGCACATACCACCATGCCCAGCTGATTTTTATATTTTTAGTAGAGATGGGGTTTCACCATGTTGGTCAGGCTGGTCTTGAACTGACCTCATGATCCTCCCACCTTAGCCTCCCAAAGTGCTGAGATTACAGGCATGAGCCACCACACCAGGCCTATTTTTTAATTTTTGAGATGAAGTGTCACTCTGTCTCCCAGGCTGGAGTTCAGTGGCATGATCTCAGGTCACTGCAACCTCCGCCTCCCAGGTTCAAGCGATTCTTGTGCCTCAGCCTCCCAAGTAGCTGGGATTACAGGCACCCACCACCATGCCCAGCTAATTTTTGCATTTTTAGTGGAGTTGGGTTTTCACCATGTTGGCCAGGCTGGTCTCAAACTCCTGACTCCAAGTGATCTGCCCCCTCAGCCTTCCAAAGTGCTAGGATTACAGGTGTGAGCCACTGCGCCTGGCTAGATTGATGCATTTTTAAAGAGTAAAGATTAAAAACAACACAGGTTCTCTAGCTCAGCTTTCAGTTTATTAACCGGATGCAGTTCGGTTATTCAGGGATACAGAGACAGCCCACTGCAGCACTGCAGACGTAGGGAGTCTTCAGGGTGACCTGACTGGCTGCCTTTGGAGAGCCTGTCGTGGGCAGGTCTCAGAGACTGAAGGTGGGCTAGGAAGCCGCTCTCTGACTTTTCCCCTTTTACCAATAGGCCCAGAGACCCTTTGAGATGGCCATCTCTTTCTAAGAGTTTGAATAAAACAAATAGCCAGAGTTAGCCAGAAGATCAGCCATTAAAAGAATATTCTTCCCCCTGCCCCCACTTAGGTGTTGCCTGAAAAGCTGAAAGGCAGCGGGGTGGTGAGCCTCAGAGTTTAATCACTGCTTACTCCTACTAGTGTGAACTCACGCCACTCCGTCTGGCTTGCTCCTGCCTGATTGCCTACATCTATGCCAGTCGCAGCACTGAGGCATATGCAGAATTTAGTGTCCTGAAGCAATTGCAAACGTGAAGCTGAAGTGTAGGGGATCCACATAGCCAAACAAATGCTTCTACCCAGCCCTTTGCTTTCATCCCTATGCCCATCCATTCATCGATTAGGGTTGAAATTGTGTCTTTGGCTGGGTGTGGCGGCTCACACCTGTAATCCCAGCACTTTGGGAGGCCGAGGTGGGTGGATCACCTGAGGTCAGGGGTTTGAGACCAGCCTGGCCAACATGGTGAAACTCTGTCTCTACTAAAAATACAAATACTAGCCACGCATGACTGCACATGCCAGTAATCCGGCTACGCAGGAGGTAGAGGCAGGAGAATCACCTGAATCGGGAGGCGAAGGTTGCAGTGAGCTGCCCTCCAGCCTGGGTGACAGAGCAAAACTCTGTCTCAAAAAAAAAAAAAAAAAAAGAAATTGTGTCTTCAATGTGCCGGGGACTGTGCTAGGTGCCAAGATTCAGGGGGCAATAAAGCAGCAGTGGCGAGCTGTGCTCCAGCGGGGTTTACAGATGTATGAAAATACAGGTTTTCTTACTGTTCAGGCCTAATGAGGCCAGCAGGTCAGGAGACAACTGCCATTGGAGAGACCATTTGTTACAGTTCCTAAGCAGAGGCGGCATGCGATAATCATGCAGGGCCACGTGGGGGAAGCACCAGGGTCAGGAGGCAGCCCAAGGGGAAAACATGGGCAAGAGCCTTTACTGTGGTTTCTTTGGAAAAGGCAAGCAGGGTAAACAGGCTTCAGATGGGCTAGTTTGAGTCATTTCAACAGGTTCTGGGGTATAGGGACTGTCCCTAGTTGTCTGGCCAGACTCTGGGGTGCTTAAGGCAGATGGGTAATGGCCTCCAGTGTGACAGCCTGATCAAGGAGGCATCTGGGTTACATCTCTGGATTCATGGCTTTGCACATTAAAGGCACACTCAGTTGTTTACTATCTCTAGGAATTAGGGGGCCCTGCCTGGGAGGGGCAGTCTCTCCAGTGTCAGCAAGGCCCCAAGTAAGTATTGGAATAAAAAGACATGCTAGAGGCCTGGCACAGTGGCTCATGCCTGTAATCTCAGCACTTTGGGAGGTCAGGGCGGGTGGATCACCTAAGGTCAGGAGTTTGAGACCAGCCTGGCCAACATGGTGAAACTCCGTCTCTACTAAAAATACAAAAATTAGCTGGTGTGGTGGCACATACCTGTAATCCCAGCTACTAGGGAGCCTCAGGCAGGAGAATCACTGGAACCTGTGAGGCAGAGGTTGCAGTGAGCCGAAATCGTGGCCCCAGCCTGGGCCACGGAGCGAGACTCCGTCTGAAAAAAAAAAAAAAAGTGACATGCTTAATACAGCCATCTGCAGGGGTCTCAGACTCCCAGCCAGCAGGCCATAGATGGATTTTGCTGTTTCATGGGGTGTAACTTTTAAATCTTTTTGCAAACGCCTGAGGTAGAGCGTGATTGTAATCTCTAGTTGGCTGCAGGTCCCACCATTCCCTATTGCCTTACCTTAGACCACTCCCATATTTGTGTTATCTGCTGGCTCCATAGTTTGTACTCTGATTTCTAGTTCCCATGTGCAGAGAGCCCAGCCTGGGTGGCCTTTGCAGTCATTCATTATACCTCCAAATCCACTCTGCTTACCTGCTGGCTTTCTGAGAGTAAGTTGCACACCATTTCTAACCTTGGTCCTGCACTGCCCCGCCTTCTCAATTGCAGAACTCCCCTCTGAGGTGTGAGGGGAATCACATCACACTTGTGGAACCCCTTTCCAAGTGCTTCTTTCCCATCATGTCATCGCAAACCCCTAAAAAGTGGGGGGACAGCTATTCTTCCTGTTTTAGAGATGGGAACACCAAAATGGATGACACGACTCACCTGAGCACATGCTTGTGAGTGGCAGAGTCTGTGACAGGAGCCAAACCTTCTGTCTCCTACCCAGCTCCCTTTTTGGTCCATCCTTTGCCTGGACAGGGCCCCTGAGAAGTCCAGGGCTGGGGTGAACATTGGCCTTTTGGGAAAGATGCTCATCCACTCACACAACAGATATTGAATGTGCACCTACTATATCCAAGCCAAATACTAGACACAGGAATGTAGGGGTGAAAGAATGAGGCATTAACCCTGCTCTTGGAGAGCAACTGGCCAGGAGAGGACATGAGGTCTGCATCAACAACTGCCATTAGAAAGAAAGTGAGCAGCCCCCGGGAGAGGGACAGATGGGACATGCCTGGCTGGTTGGGTTCATCTCTTCAGTTTACAAGTGGGGTTGTTTTGCCTTTCCCATAAATGTCAGGATGTTAAGCTTTATGTTGACACTGGCAGTGAAGTGATTCTTTCAAACAATGTGAGCAGGAGTGCTCTGTTCTTCAGGGGATAAGCTTTTTATTTCAGTTTTAAGTCAACTCCAGATAATAAAGTGACAGTCAGTTA